TTTTATCAGATTTAGAAAATGGAGTTAATTACTTTGACCTATGAATGGTTCATTTAATTATTATGCTACTCACATATCTGTTCAGTAAGACGCAAGAAAAATCACAACTTCTTGATGGAAAAACTGTATCCTTTATTTCACGTGTCTTAGAAATTTGACATCCTTAACCCCTGAAATCCCAGGGTGTTAGGAGGTCTAAAGGCAGCTCAAGGGAGTATCCTTTTGTGTTCACGTGAAAGTGTTAAAAATGCAATTTCTTTTTATTCTTTTAAATTGACTCAAAATATTCAATTTAAAAATAATATTTTTATTATCACTCAAAGTAACAATAAAAATTTTGATTACTTTAATGAATACCTTACAACGAATTGATGGCATTCACACACAAATCTAAATAATTCCTCCAAATCAGTTATAGCAATGTTGTCTAACATTTGCATGTATTTATATCGGATATTACTATATTTGCATACGATTACTTTGTACGGTGAACTATAAATTTAATTCAGCTCGTGTGGAAAATGTATTCATCCATAAATTCCGGCATTCATACTTGCATAAACAAATAAATCATCACGTATAGAGAGTGCTTCACTTTTTGTTGTTTGAAAATTTCACGCTCGGTGGAATGTGATATCAATTTCAGCAAACAGACATATATACATTAGAAATATAGTACCTAACACTTTGAATCTTAATCTTTCAGATATTTTAAATATCTCAAGTCGCGCGAGAAACTCTCGGGAGTATTTCTGAAAGTGTCCATTATGCAAAGAGTCTAAATTATAAATTATCCTAAAATTCAATGATATAGCACAAATTACCCATTTTCTAAATATCTTTCATCAAACCCAATGATTCCTTTCGTCAATCGACTATTTAAACACGCTCAATTTAACTTTATCTAACAAAAGTCAAGAGAATTTCACTAAAAAATGAAACCCTTTGAAACGATCTGGCAAAAAATGAAGCTGAGGTTCCTTAAAGATTATAATAAACCGGGATTTACGTAATCCTTCAGGCATATCTCTACCGTGGCCTGCTACATGACATTACTAGGGATAGACGAAAGGATACACGGTACTTTCATTCGAATACGAAACGCTTCATCCCTGTCAATGGTTTACTTTATCTGTATCGGAAATATTTCTATCTTTGCCCTGGGACCGCCATTTATTTACCGGCGTACCGATTTGGAAGAAATAAAACGAAGTACGAACTGATATGTGAGGAATATTTTTTCAAGAATATAGAAGGTAACAAAAGAAAATGATAAAGGCATCGATCAACGTAACACGCGATAATTTTTCAAAGTTATGAAAATAAATTTTTAGGCGGACTGGAAAAATTTATTTTCCAAGAGAATTACCGATGGTATATTGTTTCGCGATGGTGAAATAGCTAATATTTTAACGCGGTTGATGTTTTCCGATCGTTGCGGTAAGGACGATGCAATCGTGCACGCGAGATTCAAAGAATACACGGTGAAACAGGGGAAATTCGTGGTCGCGAATGCGATCGTTAGCAGATTCTCGTCGACGCGTGATAATTCTGCTCGACAATTTTAGCCTCGTTTGTATTTGCTAATTAATAATTAAACTGCCACCGAATGAACGGAATTACACGAACCACCCTCTGCTTCCTGCCAACGAAACACATAAATTTGTTCCCTACTAATTTTGCTGAATATTGATGATCGCGCCGAATCATTTACAGGTTAACGTTAAGGGTGAATGAGGGAGAATGTGACGAGTGATTCTATTAGAAATAGCTCCGACGAAATTTCGTTCACTTCGATCTCTTACATTTCATTATTAATAGAAGAAATTAAGGATCATGCAAATTTGAGTATCTAATTTTAATAGAAACCTGATCGATTCTATGTCTGACTTATAATTGACTCGATTCCCTTATTATATTCAAAATTATATTTAGATTCCTTTCCATTTCTGTCTCAATATTCATATTTCAATAAATATAAGCCTCTCGTTTCAAAAATTGAGTGTCTAATTTTAATAAAAGCTCGATTACTTCTACGTCTGACTTATTATTGCCTCGATTCCCTGATTATCCACTGAAATGCAATAATTTCAATTTAATTTTAAATTCTCTCCCAGATTATCTTCTACATTTTAAAATACTGTATTAAATACAATATTTTGAATACATATAAGCCTCTTACTTCAAAATTTAAGTAATTAATTTTAGTAGAAACCCTTTGTCTGACTTGACTTCCCTATTGTGCCCTGAAATGCAACAATTTCAATTTACAAAGAATTTTCAAATTGTTCCTATTAAACTGTAATAATAATAACAACAAAGGATAATTAAAAATAAAATAAAGACGATAAGAAATACCACAAACCTTGCAATAATGGTTTTAAAAATAAACCCAGCACGAAGGGTGCAAAGAAAAGAACTTTTATTATGAAACGTTACTTTTATTGTTGATCATGTGATATGTATTATGTAAAGGCGAGTTCCTTTTTTTTGTTACCGCCTTGATGTCACTACATGAACAATAAACTACCCGAAGCAGTCTGACGAATGTTCCAAGACGTTCATTAACATAAAACCACGATCAATATGGAGCTCGTGGGGAAGTTGGAAGACAGATTTTCATGTTGAAGTAACTGGAAGGCAATATGAAAAACTGTGGCATAAAAGTCTACGGCTGTAGAAGACGGTATTACATCGCGACCTCGTTTCATTTATTTGCTCCCTGAATAGTGAACAGCTCCACGCATGTAGGCATATTTTTTTCTATATATATACATTTGTACGTGTTTGCTTATTGGTGTGTGCACGTACGCTGTATTACGCATTGTCTTTTTTCATGATAAACAGTCAACTAACACAAACACAACACTATGAGCTCGTTCCCGTGCGGTTTTATTCAAATTCACCCTTAATATAAGACATAAGCTTGGTTTTGCGCTTTTGAAATATTTGGCAAAGCTAACTTTTCAAAAGGCAAATATTCGCGTTAAAGTTAAAACAACTCCGTCTGTGCATTCTGAAAATATCACCGCTGTGCAATTAAAATTATAAAACAGTTAAACTGTGAGGAATTAAATATCTAGAATTTATAATTTTATAAATTATAAAAAAATTATAAAATAACAGATAGCTTTGGAATATTTGACAAAGTAAAATTTGGAAAATTTCTAAATTCTTTGAGATTATTTTATTTCTTAAGAATATTGAATACTTTAGTAAACGATTGCACGTTTATGCTGGAATTAATCGAAGCAGTAAATCTGCCGTTAAAACTTGTATCGCGATCATTTGGAGTTTATCAGTGTAATACCTCTATCCTATCGAAAAGCGATCTTGAACGATCGAAAATCGTCAGGAAGACGCATTACCGTCCCATCTGTACGGTGAAATTTGTATCCAACACTGTTAGGTTCAGTAAAAATTTTCACTTATCTTGCACGTCTCTGTCTCTTATCCCAAAGGACAAATTGGATAGTCCGACGAAAGGCTAGGAGACGAGGAAACTCCATCCAATTTGCAATGCACAGGAGCTACTACAGCTGTTCTCATCCGTAGCCTAAGCGCTACTACCTTATCTTGCTACACTCGTTGAAAAAGAATTAGCGATTTTTTTCTACCTTGTTTCCTCAAAGAATTACCGTACCTCTTAGACTATAGCGACAAGAATATTCCTTGTGTAAGAATATCTACTTGAAGAAGGAGACAATGATATGCAATTATTCATTTAACCCTCGGAGGACGGACCATGGAGAGAGCCCCAATTTCAAAGCAATTTTGTATTTCATATCATTTTTATGTTCTAAATTTTGCACTGTTCTTTGAAAAATTATTTCTTCCTTTGGAAATAAAGAATATATTTGTAGAAATAAAATTATTTCATTTTATTATTATTTAATTTAGCTATGAAAAATATATCATAAATATGTAATGTTAATAGATGTTTCATTCTGAAAGGGTTAATTAATATGCATTATTCCTAATACAATTGACAATGAGAAAAGAAGAATTGAAAGAGAGGTGCAATGCAAAGGGGTCAACCTATCCTCTTTGAACTGTAGATTTGCTCCCGGCAAAATTAAACAATCGATCGAATCCTTCGACAACCATTTCCACTATGTTACCAGGACAAAAAATGTAGAAAAAAAATAGTTACACGAAAGTAGTTTTTTAGACTCGTGTTGGAACAAAAAAAGTGGTGTTCTATTTAAAAGATACAAAGAGAACGAACAACGATGTTGAAAAAATAGAAAATTTAATTATTCCAATTATTTCTTTAGACGTTCATAAAATTTTAATAAATGTCCTATGACTTCTGAAAGGGTTTGAATTGTTCATTCTACTTTTTTTTTAATATCTACCTGTTTTAATCTCGAATCTTTCGCTATACAGGACTTGTTGAGAACAGAAAACTCTGGTGTAGCAACAGTTTTTCAAAACATTCGCATGTCATCAAGTCAGCATGGATCGCCGGAAGTATTGTACGCATTTTACGCATGCATGCAATCAGGTATGACATAACGTACACATGCAAGAAAGTACATCCACCTGGCAAGCAGTCGTACTCCTCTGCGTGCGCGCATATTCGCGGAAAGACCGAACAACTGACCCAGATACGTATGAAATGACGTATTATCATCACTACGAGCATATTATGAATTTTCAGCTTTTATTACGACCAGCTGCGTGGATTTCCAGCTGATTTTACTCTAGCATGAATAACGACAGTGACGACATTTAATTCGCTTTGCCTTTTCATCCGTCAAGCTTCTAAAATATGATATTAAAGATATGAAAATGAAACTTCAAATTGTTACTTTTTATCTCATCTCGTTATAACATAATACTACTATAAATATTATTATTATTTTTATCAATGTTACGATGATCGTCACTGCTGTTATTAATTCTCGGATGACGGACCATGGAGAGAGTCCCAATTTTATTAGAGATACCGAATTAATTTGCACACCTAATATAATGATAATTATATAATTACTCACCATAGACAGGCTACAGGGTAGATGACGTCACCATCTGTAACAAAAATATATTAAATTAATATCATAAGCTTAGATTACACAAAATAGATTAAAAGAATTTAAAATCTGTGGCCAAAAATTGAGTGTTTCACTTCCAATTTTTGACTCATAAATGAACATTCTTCTTTAGATTCTTAAAGTTAAATGGTGCATAGCAAGTAGTATAGCAGACAGATAGGTTAACATCAGTTCCATTTTATGTTATAACAGTCGCGGTTGAGTTTAGAAAAATTCGTTGCCGAAATCGGTCCTTTACTTCCAGGTCAGCGAGAAATCGAAGAAATTGGATTGCCTTGAATCGATTAAACTTTGCTATCGAAGAAGTTTCGCGGAGTTTTAGAGTAAAATTTGTTGAATGCAATCCAAGATGCGGAATAAAAGTTTCATAGTTAATGGTAGATATCTTTCGGGTAAATAAAGATCAAGCATACGTTACATTCAATCGTCTGGCAAGTCGCTGAATGTACACTTTGTATAAATCATCCGTTAAAATGTTAACAAATCCTTTATGTAGTCTTTTCTATTAAACTTTAATCTTTCATTTGATGTATCATATGTCTTATTTCGTGATACTTTTCTCTCATCAAATTCGATCAGAATATATCAATTATACTCTGGTTCATTATTTGCTATAAATGACTGCCAGTCATTTTGTATTAAAAGTATCAACAAAATCTTTGTGTAGTCCTTTTTATTAGACTTTAATTTTTCATTTAATATACTATATGTCTTATTTCATGATACTTTTCTGTCATGAAATTCGATCAGAATATATCAATTATACTCTGGTTCATTGTTTGCTATAAATGAGTGCCAGTCATTTTGTATTAAAAGTATCAACAAAACCTTTACATAGTCCTTTCTATTAAACTTTAATCTTTCATTTGATGTATCACATGTCTTATTTCGTTATACTTTTCTGTCATCAAATTCGACGAGACTTAAAAAATTTCCAAATTCGTCATTGGATAAATCGTTTCCTCTCCGAGCGTCAACCCTCGATCTTAATATTATTTCCCAAAATAATAAAGTGAGATATATGCGTTTAATTGAACATTACTATTCCACAGGTTTTTTTCGCATTCAAAATTACTGACTATTGTGTTATCCGAGTTTGAGCAATATTTTTCCGAAGCTCACGGCGTACGTTTGAAACGCTTCGTTAGGGGCTAACATGACATCGTCGTGGCGAACTGTCGAGCATTTTCGAGGGAAATGTTTTGACGTGACAGTTGTCACAGGTAATCGGTGGCCTTCGCCGAACGGAATCCATATACCGCGTTGCACGGCTATAAAGGTTGTCCGTCAACAGGGAGGGGGTCTGTGCGAGAATAGTTCGGGGGGTGTTACAGTGACAGTTCGTGACGTGACTGTATGGTGAATCAGAAATCACGTGCAAACTTGCTGTTAGAAGCATATACCTCTAGCTTGTGTGTTATCGAAACGTTTAAGCAGTGTCGAGATCCAAGTATACCGATAGGGGTACATGCCTGGAAAATTATGCACGCCATCTGTGAATCCTGTTATTGAGATTGCTGGATGATTTTGCTTTAGCTGGGAAATTTGTAATAATTCGTTGGATAATTCCAAGATAAATTCTCACGATTTTCAAAATTAATTTTAATGGATATCTTAACAAAAAAGGAAAATCCACAGTGCAATTTTTAGAAATTTGATTAGCATCGTTATGCAATTTGAAGCTTGTATTAATAATCATTTTATTAATTATTAGAGAACTCTTGTTCGTTATAAATATTATAACTTCCTTAGTCTACACATCAGACACACCGCCATATGCATGAAGGGGGTTGAATAAATATGCCTGTGACATGGATGTCGCGTATATATCCACGTTCGCGTATACAAACATCTATATTCGCATAAGGAAGCCGAGTCGCTTGATTCTCCTTGGAAGGTTCTGAAGCGTCAGAGAAGGCGACGGCTAAAAGTGGAGAAGGATGAGGAAGGAAGGAGGATAGAAGCTGAGGTCTACTCTGTTTGCTAATTACTCGGCGTCGGCACATTTGCATCCACGTTCGCACCAGCCTCCGACTGGTGGCGTTAACCTTCTCATTAAACGTAATTGTTTGCAATAATTTGATGCCACCTGTCTCTCCCCCTCTACTGTCGTTACGACCAGCCAACTTCTACACTAAGTCTCCGCTACCTTGCTGACTAGTTGCACCACCAGCAGACTGTCTTCTCCCATTTTGTTCTCTTTTATTCTTATGCATTTCACTGTGTTCGTACCCATCTGGGTGTATACGTGCTTTTATGTACAGTGAATCGTATTTAATATTCGGACACATTAATAGAGGTTCTTCTGGTTAATTTGACCTGGTGTAGACCATAGTGATGTAGGCTAGTTGTGGCTTGGGTCAGCAATGGTCAGGGCTATCCATGGCATGGACCATCACTGCTATAGGTTATTTATGGCATAGACTATTAGTAATGTGGGTTATTTATAGCATGGAGCATCAGTTGTGTGGGATTTCCATAGCATCGTCCATTGGTGCTATAGGTTACCTATAGGGCTATCAATGGTGTGGGCTATTCATGTCATGGACTAACATTGATCCAGGTTGTCTATGGCATGGGCTATCCATGGCATGGGCCATCACTACTATAGGTTATTTATTGCATAGACTATTAGTAATGTGGGTTATTCATAACATGGACCATCAATTGTGTGGGATTTCCATGGCATGGTCCATTGGTGCTATAGGTTATCTATAGGGCTATCAATAGTGTGGACTATTCATGTCATGGACTAACATTGCTCTAGGTTGTCTATGGCATGGGCCATTAGTGATGTAGGCTATCCATGACATGGACCATCAGTGCTATAGGTTATCTATGGTTTAAGCTATCAGTGATGTGGGCTATCCATGGCATGGGCCATCAGTAATGTGAACTATCCATAGCATGGACCATCATTGCTATAAATTATCTGTGATTTGAGCTATCAGTGAAGTGGGTTACTCATGACATGGACCATCAGTGGTATGGGCTGTCCATAACATGGGCCATCAATGTCGTAGCTCATCCATGACATGGGCCACTCATGAAACAGGCCATCTGTGGTGTGGGCCATTTATAGCATGGGTCATCCATAATACCAGCCAAAATAATATTATTTTATTCCAAGAGAAATCAAATCAAATTTTATTTAACTAATATCAAACTTCGTTCTCAAAAATTTTTCATTTTTATCCATGGAATAGTATGTATATGCATCATTCCTAACAATAAGGAGCCACAAGTATACTCGAAGCATGAATACAAGGTATAGTACCCACGTGTCTGGATTCTGATTGCAGTCACTTCTGAAGGAGCAAGTAGTCGTCGTCTGGATCTTGGTGTAAAGGGCTTTTGTTTCAACGATGACATCCGTGCTACGTACACAACGTACATGTAATAATAGCGACTTTAGACGTGCATCCTTGAACGTGACAATTACAGACGTGTGGATTAATTGGTAGAGACGCGGTCTGGACCCAAGGATAATGGAACAGAATCTAGGGAAATAATGGGCGACGTAATTTCAGAATTTTTCTGACTTTGTCATGCACGTCGCAAGCTTTTCCTTACGAAGCAATTTACGAAGCAACGCTGCAGAAAATTGTTCCCTTGATAGCCTGCTATTGGCATTGACAATAGCAGTACCAGGATTTGCATCGAGAGCAACAACGAACAAGATTTAATTTTTTATTTTTTATTTTCTATTCTATTTAAAATATACTGTTCAACATTTTCATTTTTTAAATTTAATATGTAAACTGTAATAATTATTTTAATTATTCAAGTACCTTGATCACCACAGTGATAATTAAATTAAATTAAAATTTCCATTCCTGTTTACTTTTTTTAATTTATCCTAATTTCCTAATCACCAGTAGAAATATTATACGTCTTTATTTATTTGCTTGTCATTAAAAATGTTTTAAATGAAATCTAAATGACAACATTCCATTAAGGATGATAAAGTTATTTCAATAGTAGAGATTGTAACAATACATTTCTACTAATATCGAGTTTATTGGACATAGATAAGAAGCGAAGATTATTGTTGAGAACGAAAACATTTCGATGAATAGCTACCATTTTTCATGGAATCTGCACGAAAGAATTTTCTAGTTTAGCAATATTTTTCTCGAACTGGCACTCTCAATATCTACGTTCGTTTCTCCCCCTTCGGCACAATTCCTTTCAAACTCCGCATGTATCTTCAATGTTTGCCGTGCAAAGTGAGTACACCTTGTATCATTTCACGGCGCTGAGCCAATAAGCATTCGAAAGCGATAAATTCCTCGCCTTTCGTACGACTTCGTTTCCAACGGATCACAACAAACTTTACCCTGCGGCGAGACGCAGCAAAATATCCATCGAAACTTTTATGCTAGCGTGAATATTCGCCTGATCATCGTTCAACGTTCAAACACTCTTGATCTTTGAAAATTTCTGAACAAATGGAACAAGAATTTCTCCAAGAAACAAGAATAAACCCTGATAAATTTATGATAGCTTAACAATTTTTATATGAAAATTCCTAACACCTATTAATAATTCAGTAATAATAATTAAATTTATATATCTTTTGACTGTAATTAGGAAAATCATAATTCAATAGTATAAATATTATCTTGGAAGCTATAATAATTTATATGCAATAAAATTTTTATTAGCCATGGAAGTCACAGGGTTTTCACATTTGAAAATTTATTTAACCCTTGTACGACGGACCATGAAGAGAGCCACAATTTTAACTTAATTTTATATTTGATATCGTTTTCGTTATTTATATTTATGTTTGAGGCAACAAACAGAATTTCATGTTTTAACATTTTCTTAAAACACACGTTAAAAAGATTTTCCTGAGAGTTTCAAGTTAATCCGAGGAAAATTGACGAAGTTACAAGGGTTTAATATAATACACGGTGCGGTAAACGCGTTTTTCTCAAAACCATGTTTTCAAAGCTAGGAGCCACTGAATTA